CTTTTCAAGAAATAGAGCATGTTGGGGGTGTCTTTGTAACATAATGTATCTCAACTCTGTAGCCTAAGGCAATGAACTGCAAGATATTTTCTACCATTTCCTGAAAAATGTCATGAATTATACATTAGCAAATCTACTTTCATAATTAACAGTGATTTCTCATAACCAAAGAATTTTCTTGTGTTTCGCCTCCATTTCTTTTCTGCTGTCTTTTCCTTTTCCTTTTGTTTTCAAAATACTCAGCACTTTGCTTAGTAATCTTTTGATTTTTTCATATAATAACTACTGTCCTTTATGCCAGCCAAACATGGGTGACACACTTTGCAACCTTGAATGTTTGCATGGGACTTTTGATGAGCGCAACCCTATTTGGTCTAAGTAACAGACTATTTTGTTCTATTTTGTTTGAGTTCTGGTTTGTTGTGCATTTCTCGGTGAAGGAAGTCAAGAGGTTAGAAACTAAAGACACCTGGAACTTTCTAACTGTCAGTATTAGAAGGCTATGTCAGGGATGAGCTTTCAAGGGGCAAGAAGAACAGATACCCCATATGCCAAGAGTCACCAGAATCAACCTGAGTGGAAGACTGCAGCTGCTCTTAATCCAGAACACATATGGCTGTTTGATCAAGGAGATCTTTTAGGGAGCTCCTTTGCCTGTATGTAACACTTAGGCACTTTCAAGCGCTCTGTGTTCTTCATGAGCCAGGTTCCTTCTCTCAGTCGTCATTGCTTAAAGAATGAGTGGCTGGGATCCAGATTGAATGTAACTCGTAGAAATGACTTGAAAGGTAGCATGCTGTCCCAGTAAAATTGATGAAGCTTATATAAGAAAATTATAACTTTTATTGTTTACATTTTTGTTAACATGTGTTTGATATCAAAATATATATTGATCTAGAAAAGACTTCTTGATTTTTAGTTCAGATAGTTGGCTTGGTGTAGTTTACATCTTTCTAATAAGAGAATTGAACTAATTTCAGGGGATGAAGATGGCTCAACAGTTAAGAGGACCTACAGCTAAGAGTGCCTAATAGGCTGGCAGAGGCCTTGGGTTCAGTTCCCAGCTCCATCTGCTCACAGCCACCTATGTGTAATTCCTGCTCCAGACAAGCAATGCTCTTTTCTGGACCTCACCCATTCCTGCAATCAGTGTGTATGACTTCACACAGAGACATACACTATATATTTGTGTAATCTAAAATAAACATAATAACTAATGTCAATAGAACAATAGTAAGGAAAATAATATGAGCTCATGTTAAATACCTACTCCATGGTCGTTGCCTAATTTTATGTCAAAATACCAAACTATATTTATGGAACCAATTGGTTTGTTCCTTAAAAGATCTAGTCAATGCTTTCTAACTGTCAGCATTAGAAGGCTAATATTACTCATATTACTAAACCACTGATTATCAGTTAACAAAAAGGATGTTTTTTTAAAATAGTGTTCTGATTAAAATAAAGCTGAAGATATATGTGTTTCACTTAGAATATCTACAGTGGTGAGTTAGTCAGTAAGGCATGGGGATGGGGATATCTTCCAGGGAAGAGAAAGTTTTATTTTTAAATAGTCATATGGAAATCTTCTACTATAGAAGTTTACTAAAATATATAATATATATAACATATACACATATTTAAAAGGAGTTTAAATTGAGTTACCATATTATGGGGGTGGCAATACCCCAATTGGACATTGTATGCTACCAATGAAAAGTCTGAAGAATTAAGAATGAGTTACATATTTTTGAGTTGATTATTAATGTGGTCTGATAGAAATCCCAACCATTATGGGCAAATGCCATTGCTATTGATTACACTCCTGCATTTTGACAGTGAGATCCTATTGTTGAGGACACCGTGTGCTTATGTCATAGAACATAGAGAAATCTAGTAGGTATTCAACTGGAAGCTTCGTCCATGTACTTTCAGGTACTCTACATGCTACACAAAGAGAAAAGTGATCATCAATCTCCCCCAGCTATGAACCTTAAGAGTTACAATAATGACGTACCTGCAAGATGTGCCTGATGATAGACTAGTAACACAAATGTTATGGGAATTACAATCATTTTTTAAAAATTTGGAATTAAGGTCCACTGCGCATGATGGAACCCATATATANATATATCATCAATGAGATCAAAAACTTGACATTAGATCGGTCATTGACCTACTATTATTACTCTGCTAAATGAAATAGCAATTAAATGACTCCTAATGACCTATCATCATATCCATAGATGAGTGAATGACTCACCCTGCGTTGGAGAAACATTTCCTTGAAGTATTTGGTAATTAACACAGAAACTTGCATGAGGTCAGCATGCAGAGCACAAGAGATGTTGGGATGCTTGGCCTTCATTGGGATGTCTCAGTCACACTCCCCCCTCAAGGCTCAAAGATCTATGCAGAGGAGGGAAAGGAACGTTTATAAGAGCCCGAGATGGTACATGACCTTAAGGAAACAGTGTCTTCCAGACACAGCAGAGCAGATGCACTTAGGGACCCACAGAGACGATGACAGTGAACACAAGACCTGCGCAAGCTCAAGCCAGGCAAATCCCAGCACAAAGGAGTGGGAGCAGGCATGAAGTCCCCACCTCTGGCCAAGGAGCTATTGCCAACAGAGAGCTGCTAGGATAAAGGAAGTCAATGTTCTTCAATGGACTGACACTGGGCATATCAGCTGCACTCAAGGCAGGTCCTATGCTCAGGAGTAAGTCAACACAAACGACTGCACAATTTTTAGAAGGAGAAAACATGAAGTTGGGTGGTTAGGAAGGTAGAGAGGATCTGCAAAGAGTTGAAAAAGGGAAATGAAGAAATAAAGGGGAAATCTATAAGCCCCAACTATGAAACTAACTAATAGAGTCATATAGACTTATAACTAAGACAGTTAAAAATGAGAACCTGCTAGCAAAGAAACACAACTTTCTTTGAGAAGTCTCACTTCAGATTAACATCGAAGGTTACCATTTGAAATGTCTCAGACAGATACAAACAATCCAGGGAAGCTGGGTAAGAATGCTTTGGGCAGATCTCAATGAACACTTTTCTGCTTTTCGCAGGCCATTTCTGCTTTGTGTGGATGCATTCAATTTATAAATTTTACAAAGTACATGTTAAAAAGCATAAAACTTATATCACTTTAAAGCATTACCCTTCTCCAAAAAGAGGGATTTATTTTAGGAGGAGAGAATCGACAAATTATTCTGTCAGAAACCCACCTTCTACAGGTCCACTCCTCTGGAAGGAAGAAGGGGGTCATCTGGGTATTTCAGTGATACTTATGTGATGCTCTGGGGTTGAGATGACTTGATGGTCTTCTGCCATCTGGTGGAAAAGTCACAGAAGTGTCCCAGTTATATGATGTAGTCTAAACATAACTTGGAAACATATTTTTCGTCTGAATTCACATTTTTCACAATAAAAGAAATTTCCTCTTATTCTTAGAGGAACACCTCACTCTAAGCCCTTCTTAAACAAAATAAAACATTACCAGTTTGGGGGGCGGGGGAAGGAAGGAAGGAAGGAAGGAAGGAAGGAAGGAAGGAAGGAAGGAAGGAAGGAAGGAAGGAAGGAAGGAAGGAGAAAAGTCCTATGTCTAACTCATGTAGATTTACCCAGGCATTTATTCAAAGCATATGTTTATATTTTGTGAATAGCTAATGTACTGTTGCAGCTACAGGGTTGCTTGCTAATGGTCAATACCATATGGAAGACAGGCTGCTTGTGAGGGAATTGTTAGTCGTGGGCGCCCTCGTGTGTTTATGAGACAAACTACAAACTAGAAGGGAAAGGGAAAGGAAAGGAAAAAGAGAAAGGGCGAAACCCTTTGGGTCGCACTCTGACTCACCTGTTGGCAGTGTCAGAATCCCTACAGGTGTCTTACCCACGATGAGTGGCTCATTGAAGGCACCCACATGCTTCCATGACACAGCTTTGTAGCTGAGATGTCCCTTGAAGAGTGTCCCAGCAGTGAATTTCTTATCTTTGTCCTGAGAGATTTTTCTCTTCCTGTGCTTTGCAAATGTCTGTGGCATCTAACCTTTTCCCTGTAAGCTACTGCAAACTTACCCCATGTATGTACACTCTCCAGAGCATCAGGACCGTTCCTGATGGGACTGAAATTTTGGCCCAGTTCCTACTCGATGTGATCTTTAAGTTACATTAAGAAATTTTGAAAGTTTTTCCCCACAATTTTATTTTCATATGAGACAAATATTCTAATTCCCTGTGCTTATTTATTTATTTATTCTATTAATGATGCCAGGGTGGAATTTCATGGCCAGTTCCCAAAAAGACTGAATTAATGGTTTTAGTTGTGATATTGCTTTCATGAGTTGGGAATTTTTAATTATATCAGGGTTTCTCTAGTAGCAAAAATGTTCAACTATAGATCATATTTTATAATTGATTATTTTCTAGTCCCAAGCTAAATAAATTTGCCAGGTATCAGACAAGACATACAGACACCATGAGTTCGAAGATATCCTATGTCATTTTTTCTAACAATGAATGTCCATGCCAAACACTCTCAAAACTATGTTCTAGGCAACAGCAAACAAAAAGGGAGAAAGGAGCTATAGTTCTGATATTCCAGAAACTAATCAGAACATAGTGGTTTCAAGGAACTTTGGTTACAGGTTGGGTGCGTGGAGGGAACCCCTGTGACTGAATGCTGGCAGCTTTTAAGGACAGAGGAAGGGACCTTTACAGACAGTGAGACACATGCTCCCATCAAGATGGATCATAGTCAAAGAGCCTACAGCAGGACTTCCACCCTCCGGAGCTGCCAGCCAGAGTAGCCCTCTTTTCTTCTGAAAAGAACCTACCAAATCCAATTTGAGGTGCAAAAATTGGAACAAGAGATAATATTTTACTTCCTATTGAACTAAGATAAAATTTTTAAAAAAACCTTCCAAGTATGTTTTATTTAGTACAAATTCCAGAAGTCAACGGTTGTGCCACTGACTTTCTTTTTTCTCCTGAAGTGTGCAGCTCAGAACCAGAAAATGTGCAGGCTGACCCTGAAAACTACACCAGCCTTCTGGTCACATGGGAAAGACCTCGAGTTGTGTATGACACCATGATTGAGAAGTTTGCCGTTCTGTACCAGCCGCTGGAGGGCAACGACCAAACCAAGCATGAGTTTTTAACAGATGGCTATCAGGACTTGGTAACTATAAGATGAATTACTTTCTGTCTGATAACATTATAGTTTGGCTCCCAAGGTAAGAATTTGCAAATGACTATGTATTTTTGCCTCTGGTCACTGTAGATGTTGAGTGAAGGTATTCCCAAGGAATAAAAGGCATAGTAAATTATGTCAGTAGTTAGGATTAAATACAAGATCGTGACCCTGTCAGCAACATTATAAGAGGTGGATACATGTGGAAAACGTAAGCACAGAACATTATTAGTATATTCCTCCCTTATAAATAAGATAATGTAAGGAATATATAAATATTTCAATTAAAATCTCACAACTGACCTGAGAATCTCACCTTGTACATGTTATGTATTCTCTACTTTATTGCAGGAAAAACAAGGTAGGGGACTTAAAAGTTCTTTGCTTCGCTTTAGATTTCTAGTAACAAATATCAAGTGGTAACTATGTCAGAATTTTGAGGATAGAATAACATAAAAGACTGTCTGAGTCATCTCACATGAATGAGAGAAAGTACAGCTCGGATTCCTTGTGTGATTTGATAGGAAGGGTTGGCCCAATGGTGGTGAGTTGATAATCCCTCATCTGGATGCAAGTATGGGAAGTCGCCACTGCACCAGAAAAGTCTCTGGGCTGTACATCCAGGCAGCAAGACAGCATGTCCTGGGATCCTACTTAAATAAACCTGCCATTATTAGTACGTTTGATAGCATGTCGAACAACAGATAAGTTTTAACTACTTTTACACTCATTTGGGATGTAGAGAGAAAGATATAGGAGAAGATGAGGATTTGGTGAGCAAATATTTCCTCTCACAATGCATAAAGAAGAAGACACCACTTTGTGAGACGGAAATACGCATACATGTGCGCATACACACATGCATTTCCATGCAGACACACATTGTCAGGGTAAAGAGTTGTCCCTTTGTCTCTGTTAATAATGTCTTAAGAGAATGTTTTGTATAATTTCTAATGTCTTTCTCCTAGGGCGCTATTCTCAATAACTTACTACCTAATATGAGTTACGTTCTCCAAATAGTGGCCATATGCACTAATGGCTTATATGGGAAGTACAGTGACCAGCTGATAATTGACATGCCTACTGAGGACACTGGTGAGTGCTTTCCTAAGTTGCCCCTCTGTTTCCTGAGCAAATGAGGCTGTTTTGATTATAGGGGACACATGTGCTGTCTTCTGGCTTTGTTGTTTGTTGGGTGTTTTTATAGTTTCGTTTTTATTAGCGTTCAAAGTAATGAGTTTCATTATAGCCTTTTCATACATACATACTTGTTTTGGCCTTCCCACGCCTCCCCTCTGCTCCCCTCCCGCTAATCCCATCCCTACCCCCAGACACCACCCTTCTGCTTTCATGCTATGTTTATTCTATTTCCCCCACATAGTTAAGACCTCTATTTTCGCTCTCATGGACTTCTTTCTAGCTTGATGACGTGTGCCCACCTACCTCTTCACATATATGAAAGTCAAAATCTAGAATTCTATGTAAATGATAAAATATAGTATTTGTCTTCCAGGGTCTGATTGTTACTTAGCTCAGCGCAGTACTTTACAGCGGCACCAATTTCTACAACAATGCCATGATTTTTTTTTTTTTCTGTAATGACTGACTTCAGTTCTATTGTGTGATAAGGGCATTCATTCATCTGCTGATGGACATCTAGGCTGGTCCCATTTGCTGGCTCTCCAAGGAAAGGACAGAAGGGAGAGAGGGAGAAAGGAAAGGAGAAAAGAAAGAAATGCAAATGACCATAACTATTTTAGTAAATGTTCAACATTTTTAGCCATTATAGATATGCAAATTAAACCCACATTGAGATTTTTATCTCACCCTAGACAAAATGGTTCTTTTTAGACGAGAGAGAGAGAGAGAGAGAGAGAGAGAGAGAGAGAGAGAGAGAATCAATGCTGATGAGAATGTAGGGAAAGACGTTTCCAGAACTTGTCTTAGAGTTTCTATTTCTGTGAAAAGACACCATGACCACAACATCTCTTATAAAAGAAAGAATTTAATTGGGGCTGGCTTATAGTTTCTAAGGTAATCCATTATCTTCATGGCAGCAGAGAGGCAGATAAGGTGCTGGAGAAGGAGCTGAGAGTTCTATATCTTAATCCATAAGCAATCGAAGCAACTGTGTGTCACATTCAGCATAGCTTGAGCAAAAGGAGACCTCAAATCCAACCCCCACAGTGACACTCTTCCTCCAACAAGGCCACACCTCCTAATAGGACCACTCCCTAAGGGGGCCAATTTTTTTTCAACCACCACAGAGCTCTTATCCACTAATGTTGAAAATGAAAACTAATACAGCCATTATGGAAATCAGTATGGAGTGTACTCAAAAAACATAAGTATAAGCCAGGCGGTGATGGCGCGCGACTTTAATCCCAGCACTCGGGAGGCAGAGGCAGGCGATCTTTGTGAGTTCAAGGCCAGCCTGGTCTACAAGAGCTAGTTCCAGGACAGGAACCAAAAGCTACGGAGAAACCCTGTCTCAAAAAATTCAAAAAAAAAAAAAAAAAAAAAAAAAAAAAAAAAGAAAACATAAGTATAAAACTGACTTTATATCCTTTCGAACACAGAAAATTTCCTTTTCTGTTAGAGGGCAGAAAAACAAATAATTTTTTCTAATATAAGGTAATCTGTACTTTTATTATTAATGCCAATATTGTATACTCATACAACAAGAAAAACAAGATCTATTCAGTTTGTAAAAATCATCAAATGGAAATTGACAAGTGAATATTGATACTTATTTTAGACTTACTAAAGACTTGGTTTCATTTATATTTATTTCCTTTTCAGCCCCCAAAGCATGTAGTAAGTATATTCTACCCTAGGATTATGCCAGGTATTTTGAAATATCTATATGAAGCATCTCGAAGTATACTTTAAATATTTTTCCATTTTTTTATAATTTGATTGGGGCATGTTTTTTGCTTCCTTAATGCACCAATCTTATTTTGCAGAAACAAAAGTGTTTCTAACTGTGTTTATCTGCATGCATCCTTTCTAAACATTAAGAAAAATTCTTTTGATCTTGAACATATGCAATAGACCATTCAAGACATAGGCATAGTTTAACAGTTTCAGATTTACCTAGTTTTCCTTTTATCACTAAAAGTAGTTTTCAAGTACTGGAATTGAAGTGTGTGTGTACACATATATATGGGTGTACTCCACAACATGCATATTCACATAAATGCATATCTACATACATAAATGTGAATATTCCTTAGCCAACCCTCGCATGATCATTACAGTCTTTTCAAGTTTTTCATGTCAATGAATAGTTGTAGCATAACCATGTTTTATGTACAGAGTGGAAAACGCCTTGCTTTAATTGTCTACAGGCTGTAGCAGTTTAAGCCAATGTCAGCCCATATAACAAGCATGTTTCATCACATTGTATGATTGTTCTCACTAGTTGACATTTAACTTTAAAGAATTTGTGACTGTTAAATATCATAATGCATTCCCTTGCCAACCAAATAATACAAAGCCCTTGCTCATTGATAGTTCATGACTTGCTCATGGGATATGCTTGTTTTTAAATGTTACACCTCATGGCCACTATATAATCATTTTTCCTACTACCTTTATTTAGTTTTGTTTTGAAAATTGGGTTGTTGTTCTTTTTCTTTTATTAATTTTTTTATTTATTTTATATCCTGACCACGGGGGCCTCAGTTGCCCTTCCCTCTCTCCTCCCATTCCCTCCCTCCCCCACCCCCTACACCCCACCTCCTCTCTGCTCCCTCATTGTCCACTCCTCCTCCATCTCTGTTCAGATAGGGGCAGGCTTCCCATGGGCATCAGCAAAGCATGATCATCAAGTTGATGCAGGACCAAGCTCCTCCCCCGCATCAAGGCTGGGCTAGGCAAACCAGCATCTGGAATAGTTTCCTAAAAGTCAGCTCAAGCACCGGGGACTGGCCCTAATCCCACTGCTAGGAGCCCCAGAAACAGACCAAGCTACACAACTGTGCAGAGGGCCTAGGCTGGTCTCATGCAGGTTCCCTAGCTGTTGGTTCAGAGACCATGAGCTTCCAGGAGCCCAGGTCAGCTGTCTCTGTGGGTTGGAAAATTGGTTTGTTTTTAAATGGAAAGTCAATGCTAAATTTTATTTAAAAAATGAGACATGCAGGAACTGACCACTGTTATATTCTGTGTCATGATATTCCAGGGAACAACAACTTTCTCTAAAGTTTCCCATATTAAAGGGACATTGTCCAGGTTAGCCAGGCACATATAAATAGACCAAAATGTATTATATAATTGATGCATTTAGTATGAATTATATTGGGCATATTCACTTAATTATCTTGTTTTAGTTATATAGAGCACTCCCATCTCTGTACATAAAGCAGATTCCAAGGCATTTATAAGAAACGAGCTGCTTACTATAACCTGTCCTACACTGCTTACTATGCCAGATTTTCCAACTTTTTAAAATTTTTTGCTTATTTTTTCATCTTGAGATGCTTGTTGCATATGAGAACGATCAAATGGACATCTTCTGTATGAGTTGTCTCTGGGTGCTTTGTTTTTAGAGTGAGTCTATCTTGACACACTGCTAATTGTTCTAGTATTTTCTCATTTGTACAAAATAATAAAGATTATGACTTAATTTCTATTTATTCAAAGGATCGGGGCACTGTTGAACATTTCTATGACGGGACGCTAGGTTGGACCTACCATGTAATCTCCACGGATGTCTTAGACCTCGAAAACACTTTGTATAGTAACAGTGCTTTAGTGTAGAGTGATATTTGACTGGATAAATGTAAGAACGCAAGAAAATGAACTTAATGGGTATATTGTCCCCTAACTATGCTCATCAAAAAGTCTCTGTCAAGAATCAGTTTATTTGAAGCTTGGAGGTTTCTTATTAATAATGAAGTAAATATTAATTCTCTTAAACCTTCTCACCTGATTTTAAAGGCTGCTTCTTTATGTGCTTACTTACAATTCTTACTAGCTTCAATATTGATTCTATGGTACACATGGAACACTCTGGACAGTGATGCCACCTTGTGGTGTGGCAAAATAGGTCACTTTCTAATTAGTGGATTTTGTTATTTTTGTGGCTAATATTGGAATGTCTTAGCCTGGCGAGTATTTTTAGCTCTGATCAGTGCCTTTCTATGCTGTTTGCCATGCAACTCCTTTACCTTAGTGATATTAGGATACAGACGATTGAATTAATCTGCTATTATTTAAAATAAGCTGTTTTCTAAATGCTGTATAGCTTATTGATCTTGTTCAAATGGGAAATGAATAAGGAAATTTATGATTGCCCTCATGTTTTCATAGATCTCCAGTATTAACTCAAAATCTGAGGAAAATTCAGTCTTCTATATTGTTTCTTTAACTTCCTCATTTGATTAAATTCTGCATTTAAATTTATTGTTTCACAACTTTATCGCTTGTGCATACTAATTTACATCCTATATACAACAATATTAACATAAACTAACGTCCATTAATTATTATTTCAAGCACTATTTTAAAATGCATGCATAAATTCATGTTAAGAAAATAATTTAAAAGTCTCAAGATTTCCTTCTTAGTGTGGAAAAGAAATATTTTAAGATACATTTTAGGAAATTATATTTACAAATATAAATTATTCCTAAATGAATAATTCATAAATATATTCATTTCATTGCAACTATCATAAGCATGTTCAATTCTCTTCTCTGATATAAAGATTATGTAGTATAAAAGACACTTCCTTAAAGATTTTAGGATTTTGGCAACTATATATGTTAAGTTTAAACACATGGCGAAAGAAATCCACACATTTTACTATCCACTCAGCGTGTGATTTGTGCTTGGTCTCTGGCATCATTGTTACATCGCTGGAGCTGTCATGACTCCCCATGCATCATGCCATGCTACTAAGGCTGTGATTTACTTCTGTTTTAAATTACACTTTGAAACAATTGGAGTTTACATTATTTTTACATCCGACACTGTGAAACTTGGCTTACCTTAAAACAATTAAATAACTTTGCTGTCAAATATTATCAGTGTTGCGTCCTTGTATTATGAAATATTAAGGTTCTAATGTCTACTAATGTATTACTTTTAAATACATCTAGCATTATATGTGCCTCTGAGTTTGTCACCCGTGTTTGATCAGCTATTACACAAATGTGAATTTTAAGTATTCACTCTAAAAGGAAGGAAGGAAGGAAGGAAGGAAGGAAGGAAGGAAGGAAGGAAGGAAGGAAGGAAGGAAGGAAGGAAAAGAAAGAAAGAAAGAAAGAAAGAAAGAAAGAAAGAAAGAAAGAAAGAAAGAAAAAAAGAAGAGAGACACATTTGCTATCAGATTTTTCCCTGAGTCACTTGCAGCCTATTTAACTGAAGTGAGGCTACTCTATAAACCAGTATAATTTGTAACTTTTTTAAAATCAGTAATACCCAAGTCATTACTAGAATATGATTTATCATTTTTGAGGAACCATCACAGGGAGACCAATGTGAGATAACCCATTGCTGTCCAGCCCTACCTTGAATGCTGGTCTTGAACCTTCACACTCAGAAGTATGGCTTCAGGATCTTGAAGGAAAACACAAACGGTTCCTAAAATTGCCCTACTTAAGAAGCCCCAGAATTTTTATTAAAATGGTCTGAGTCCAGTTGGAAACTAGAGTGAAGATCTTTCAAAGAGAGTTTGTGTTTAGCATTGTGAAGATGGGGACCTGCTCCTTAGGGTTCGATGGGACAGAGAGAGCCACACAGGCTGCTCAGAACCTAAGGAGGCCCAGAAAAGGCTTGCTCGTACTGTAGTGAGCAGTGAACTCAAGTCCAATAGCAGTGACTCATACTCTGGGGTGACATGGTTAGACGGATAAGTATGCACATTTCATTTGGGGGGAGCCATGATCCATATAGTTAACTAATGCTGATTAATGAAAGATAAAATATATCAAATTCAATATATACTGAGAATACTGAAATGAAAGGAAGTTAACCTTCACCCCAACCCTATCAAATAAATAAGAAAATTGGGGGGTTTTTTTTCATTAAAAATATGTAGTCAGATGAAGTTAAACAGTCTTACAAATCTAAAACATGTCCTGATGCATATTGAAAAAAGCACAAAACTGCTGAGTTTTTTCATAAAGGTGAAAAATATATAGTAGAATATAGTCATCATTAAGAAATATTTCATTATGATTTGACTTTATTATAATTGAAATGGTTAAAAGCAGATGAAAAGACGTGGCTCCTGGGAAGCCACAGACAGTGTCCCATGGACAGCATTTGGAGATGCTCTCCACCTGGACCTTTCCACTCCCGCCGCAGCTTTCAGAAAAGCAAGTCTAGCCGCAGTGCATTGTGTGTTGGTAATGTCCCACATGTTGGTTTTTTTGATGGTTACACGGACTCAGGTGTTTGAGAGAATAGATATCACTAATAACTCAGAACCATTATGAGCAAAGAACATAAAAACCAGATGTGAGGAAATGATTACATAGGAACAAGAACAGAACAATTGGTCCATATAAAAAATTTCCAAACTCTTTTGTAGTCGATATTCATTAGGAAAAATAATTGAGGAGAATTTAATGTAATCCTGGGAATTTTCACTTTGATAGTACAGAAAATTAGTAAGGGTAAGTAACTGTAACAGCTAAGCTTTTAAGAGTATTAACTTTAAATTATACGAATTGAGTACATTTATAGACATCATGTGATTTCTCTTCTAAATAGAGTTCATGTACCCAACTATGGTTTTGCTTTTACTTCTATTAATACCTAGCAAGTTTCTGATGATAAAAATGAACTTGTGACAGTCGATATTGAAGGAAAAGTCAAAATATGATGAATATTAAATATCAATTCAGCTATGCCATGGAATTGTTTAAAAATATACATTTACTGTATAAAGACTTAAACACGGAGCACAAGCAACATCAAGGTGGAGCACAACTGCCAATGGAATGAAGTTTCATAACAGCCCGGATAATATCAAGACATCATTGAAACAATGCCCCAAACTCTCTCTGCTGCTGTGTTTATCTTTATCATAATAAACCCAACACTTGGCTGAAGACTGAGAAATAGCTATCAACTCTCAGTAATTGGTTTGTGTGCTAGATTCCTTTCTGTACACCAAGAACCAGGTTTTAATCTTTCCCAGGCAAGCACTCAACCACTGAGCTATATCACCAGACTTTATTCTAGCACTTGCTAATGGGTCTTTTTTAGCAATAGTAAAAAATGTGTTGATTCTAATTGTTTGGGAAAATAAAAAGCAGACTTGAATGAATCGCTTACTAATTCTCTACAATAGCATAAATGGTATTAGCTGAGTTTCCCTGGAGAACATATAAAGGAATCTTTCTGCCCAGTTCTCCGTAGTGCCAGCCTATGCTGAAGCTTGCTGATAAAACGTTCTCGCCTGCATTCAATAAGTACAAGTGCTCTTAATCAGAACAACTTCGGGAAAGAATCCTGCCAGAGTCTCTGTCACCCCTCAGTTCTCCTCCTGGCAGCTCCAAAGATGCCCTGGTGGCTTGTTTTTACATAAGTTTTATTACTGCCCTGTCCTCTTTCTCCTTCTCAGCCTTGGTGGGAGTTGGGCTGGGCTTGGGGAAGACAATTTGAGAGAAGATAGAAATCAATGTCATCTGTCAGTTTTTAGTGCTATGTTATGGGTTGATAACTAGTGTTGAAAACTAAAATGTGGCATTTTTATTTTGAGATATTTTCAAGCCTAGTGATTTTTCACTTTTTTAAAAACTCTCTTTCCACTTAAAGATAAGCTTATAAGGTTGCAAGAGTTAAATGAACACTGTTAATAATATTGTTTTTAATTTTGTAGAGCTTGATCTATTTCCTGAGCTAATTGGATCTGAAGAAATCATCAAGGTATTATAGCCATTTTTATATTCAATTTTTAAAAGTTTATAAACCTATCTAGAATTAATACTTGGATTTTAGATACTGTTGTATGATTCACTGTTAGAATAGTTGCTGTGTGCTTAGTATATGTAATTTATGAAAAACCTGGAAGATACTTTGATTAGTTTAACACCCAAAAATGGTTATAATGAAAAACTAATCAGCTTTACAAATAATTTTAGCTATAGGTTTCAGCTAGATTGGATCTTTGTAGCTATCTATTTTTTCTAGTAATATTTTTATGGTTTTTAAAATTGCTACAGTTTATAAATAACCAATGGCAAACTAATAATAAATATGGACCAGGTTATAAATAGAATATTTTTTGTATTTGAGCTATTCATATAAAAAGTATATGTTTCCAGCACAATGTCCTCTGAATAAATAAACATTTGAGAATATCAACAAATTTTAACTTTATCTTACTTTTTGACATGAGAGAAAACAATTGTTGCATAAATGTATATTTCAACCTAACCATAAATGTATTGTTCATCATAACTGAAACTATATTTTCAAATCAGGCACTCAAAATGATGTAAACATATGCATCAAATTGTGTAGAAACAGAGAAAATTATAATTATTACCATTACCTAGTAATGAATTGAAATCAGGTTATCATTTTACAGAAATAATTGCCTCAATGATTTATATATCTATCATTCACCTTTCTTACAATGGATTGTTTTACCCAAATACTTATTCTACTTTATAACAAGAATTCATGAAATTCATCTAGGGATAGCTTTTTGTGTGTGACTACATACTCATTTTCACATATATACAAATAATGGATAAAATTAACAAAATCAAGTCAAAAGAATGAAAATACTTTTTTTTGCTATGCTGCCAAGTTAACTCTTTTTATCTGATAAACTGAAACAAGCCCTTGTTCTAGTAATTTAGCAAATATTATTTGTGTTCCATTTTGTACGAAATGTAGTATACAATTATTTTTCATTATAGTAGCCATGATTACAATTCCCTATTTTTTTTACTAGTAATTAGTATTGACACTACAGAGGCCTCAGGAGATGCATATGAAGTTGTTTGAAATGTTCCAATGTTAATTACTAGCAAGTTTCTATATAAAACCACTGTGTTTTGTTTATTATAGCATTTAGTTGTGTGACTAGGCTATAAATTCTAGCAGTGTAAGGTTAGAGATTGCTAAAGGAGACTGTATATAATATATATTTCATATGTAGCATGTTGTTTAAGGCTCACCAGCTACACGACTACAAAGAAGCAGATCTTCCCATTAGAAAAGTAAGCTGCAGTGTTTGTGAACTACACCTCCACGATAAGTCTATCGTGTTATAGTTAAAGTTTCCTCTACAGGAAGAGGGAAAATAACCCAGCATATCTGTTCGGATTCCAACAAGAAACAGATACAAACAAGTGTATTTAGTGAGGTTGATTTAATAATAATAATAATAAAAAAACGATTCAAAGGTGTTTGAGAATGTCAATGGATGTCGAGGGGTAGGTTTGTACACTTGGACCTACAGCTATCAGAGACTGCTATATACCTACATCTGAAAGTCAGGGAGAAGATGTAAAAACTGTCTTCCAGCAGATGCTGGGACCCCTGTGGAAGGACAGGGCCATCCTGTCATGGAAACATAAACTACGAAGTTCCTGGACAATATTCTCACTCTCCTACTTCCCACTTCCTAGCACAACAGAGTGGAGAATTGTGGGAATCAGGAAATAAAGGGAGAGAATACACAGTTCACAGAGGAATATATGTGAGAAGGCTCAGTAGAACTTAAAAAAAAACATTTCCTTGTCAGGAAGGTTTGTGTTCTGTCAGAGAAACAAAAGATATTCAGTATTTGTGGGATTTCCCATGGCAGTAGCATCCAAAGAAGGAACAATCCATTTTATAATGTAAAAAACAACACTGTTTGCATTCCTATGGGAAAGGAGTCGGCTGCCACCACATACATGGGACTTTAAGCATTAGGTCCAGGTACCATGATTAGCCAATTTAACTTTACAAATCAATATATTTCAGCTTATAGAAATTAACTATCAACATATATGGTCAGGTCCGAACAGCTACATTTAATAGTGTGTTTTCCTACAGTATGACTTTGAGGTGGGTTGAAAATGCCACTCCCCTCACCCACTGTTTATTTCCCAATACCTTCTAGTCTTCCGTTTCGTGCAGGAGTGAATGAGAGAGGCTGAGAAGGGTGTGGGTTGTATCCACGATGGTTTTTAAGTCCTGAGTATCAAAATGAGAAGTAGATCCTCTCCAGGTGGAAAAGCATCACTGTGAAAAAGCCACCTCTGCATGATCAGAGCTTTAAAGCTTCAGATTCAAAAGGGAAAAGTTGAGAAAACAGGTGTGGTAACACAGAAGCAAGAATAGAAATTACAGTTCTATGAGAACTTATAAGAAGAACATTGATTAAAATATCTGCAATCAATATATATACATACATATATATATGTCATAGAGCATGAAAAATATATTCTTGAAATGGTGGCACAAGATGTTATAACCTCACAGAATCTACAGAACCTAGCAAAGCTTGGAGAATGGTCGATCATTTCCCTCAGATTCTAAGTGATGTTTTATTTGAAAGTCATAAAATTTTAAATCTGCTAGAAAAGAAATCACACGAAGTATATGTACATGATGGGCGTAAAGTTTCCCCCCCAAAATATGCTTTGGGGAAAAATAGGTGAGTCCCACCAGGATCCATTAAATTTCTATGGAAATCCTCATGGTTTATGGCAGGGTATGATAAAGTGGATTAGTGGGGAACATAAGCAAAGATGAATATTAGTGTGGGGCCCATAGAAATTATTAGGCCATGTATAGCAATACATGATTTATCTTTTGGAAGATTCAGTTCAGAAGGGGAAAGAAATTTAAAATGATAATTGAGGTTAAATTTGAAATTTTCTTTTATGTTCTTTTTCAACAGAAGAAACATGAATTCACTTAAACTGGTTAGAATAATCTGAGGATTTGAGAAAATGAGGAAAGCTCAACTGTGTTCAGTTTGTAAAGAGACAATAGAAAGTCCACTCCTACATAGATATAGGAATGAGTCTTTGGCAGAAAGCCTAGCAATTACGTAGAGACAATAGAACAGTACAGGTAGGGGTGATTGCACTGAGCAGTGTTTTCAGTGTTGGAAACATATGTGATTTTTGTCTCCTTGTTTTCCTTGGAAAATGAACAAGAGTATCATCTGCTAAGAATGAGACAAAGAACAGGAAGTGGAAGGCTTGATCAGTGCTTAGTATTGGGCATAGTCTGTAGTGACATCAGAGATCTAGGTAGATTCTTGGACTTTTAATATTGAGGTAGAGGGTAGAAATTCAATCCCACTAAGCTGGACACTGGTGCTCAGCCAAACTGGGTCAGATTATAAAGCAAGTATTTTTGAGGTATTATTTTGTTCCCTTATTATGCAGCATTAAAATGAAGGCAGTCATAACTAAAGTGGCTTCATTTAGTTTCATTGCTTTCCCTAGTGAATATAAAATAAAAGGAATACAATAAATGTGTGTTAAATAAATCCAAAAGATAAATAGAAGGATAGGATAGGATAGGATAGGATAGGATAGGATAGGATAGGATAGGATAGGGTAGGGTAGGATAGGATAGAATAGAATAGGAGAATGGTGTCCTGTGAGGATCAGAAGTCACCAAGGTCCTACAAGTGTAGAATCATAGTGTATTGTTGTGTAAGATATTTAACTTTCTTCTCTAATGTCTTAATGTTCCTTTAAAATTTGTTCTCCTTTCACAGGAGGAAGAATATGGAAAAGATAATGAAGAAAACACTGGCTTGAATCCCAGTAGAGACAGTGCCACAAATCAAATAAGGAAAAAGGAACCCCAGGTTACTACCACAACTCACTACAATCACATAGGGACTAAATATAACGAAGCGAAGACTAACAGATCTCCAACAAGAGGAAATGAATTCTCTGCAAAGAGTGATGTTCTCCACACATCTCTGAATTCTACTTCCCAACAAGTTGCTGAATCACATACAGAAGAACAAATGTCCTTGCCTTCTCAGACTGTCACTAAGCTGCCACCGCAAGGTGTGGAAAGTACTTCAGCCTCCTTAAATGATGGATCTAAAACTCTCTTTGTCTTCCCACAGATGAACTTGTCTGGGACTGCAGAATCTCTAAACATGGTTTCCATAACAGAGTACCAAGAGTTGTCCACTGACATCGGTGAGGAAGAAAACTTACTGACCGATTTCAGGCTTGATAGAGGAGACGATTCTTCAGGCTCCAGCCCTGCCACCTCTCCTGTCCCTTTTTTCTCAATGCCTGATGCAATCACCTACAACATTCTGAAGCCAGGATCTACAAAAAGTGCTTCAGAGGATTCAGCTGCGTCAGGCTCAGAAGAGTCACTGAAGGTTCCTTCTCCTGATGGGAGTGTGTGGTTTCCTGGTTCCACAGATCTAACCACTCAGCCTGAGACCGGATCTGGCAGAGAGAGCTTCCTCCAGGTTAACTCCACAGACCTACGTATTGATGAATCTGGGGAGACAACTGAGTCGTTTTCTCCGGGTGCCACGGTGTCACAGGGCCCTTCAGTCACAGATACGGAAATGCCACACTATTCTACCTTTGCCTACCTCCCAACCCAAGTCACACCGCATGCTTTCACGCCGTCCTCCAGACCACTTGATTTGGCTCCCACCCTCAACGTACTCCACTCACAGACAACTCAACCCGTATACAATGGTGAGACACCTCTTCAACCTCCCTACAGTAGTGAAGTCTTTCCTCTAGTCACCCCTTTGTTGCTTGACAATCAGACCCTCAACACTACCCCTGCTGCTTCGAGTAGTGATTCGGCCTTGCATGCTACGCCTGTATTTCCCAGTGTCGGTGTGTCGTTTGAATCCACCCTGTCTTCCTATGGCGGTGCATCTTTGCCCCCATTTTCCTCTGCTTCCTTCAGTAGTGAACTGTTTCGCCGTCTGCATACGGTTTCTCACACCCTTCCACAAGTTCCTTCAGCTGCTGAGAGGGACACGCTGTCTTTGCATGCTTCTCTGCTGGTGGCTGGGGGTGATGTGTTGCTAGAGCCCAGCCTTGGTCAGTACTCTGCTGTGGTGTCGCATCAGGCCACCGCTCACGCTGCTGCTTCAGAGACGCTGGAATTTGGTAGTGAATCCGCTGTCCTTTATAAAGCATCTATGGTTTCTCAAATCGAGTCACCCAGCAGCGATGTCGTTATGCATGCTTATTCTTCGGGGCCTGAAGCTTCCCACGCCTTTGAGGGCTTCCACCACGTGCTCACTGTTTCTTCCAGTTCTGCAATACCTGTGCATGAGTCTGTCGGTGTAGCCGATCAGGGGCCCTTACGTATCAGTCCTAGCCATACCCTAATGCCTGGGTCCTCACTTGTTACTCCAACTGCATCACTACTGCAGTCTCCTACTGCCTTCTCTGGTGATGAGGAGTGGTCTGGAGCATCCTCCGATAGTGAATTGCTTTTACCTGACACAGATGGGCTGAGAACTCTTAACATTTCTTCACCTGTTTCTGTAGCTGAATTTACATTCACGACATCTGTGTTTGGTGATGATGTTAAGCCGCTGTCTAGAAGTGAAGTGATGTATGGGAATGAGACTGAACTGAAAGTGTCTTCTGTCAGTGAGATGGGGTACCATTCTGAAAGCACAGGCATGCCAAAGATGTCTGCTGTTGTAGATAAGTGGGATACAGCTTTCCAAGAAACCTCCGTTCCTACTTCTAGCATGAATGGCATGTTGCCAGAGTCTCTTGCTTATCCCTTCACTAAGGTTTTTGATCAGGAGATTAGTCACGTTCCAGAAAATCACTTCCCAGTTCACCCTGCACACACTGCATCTCAAGCACTTGGTGACACTTGGCTTAAACCCACGCTTAGCGCAAACACAGAGCCAGCCTTCTCTGACCCTGCTCCCAGTGAAGTATTACATCCTTCAACACAGCCCTCGCTCTCTGAGGCCGCGTCTCCTTTTAGTACTGAAGCGTTGCTGCAACCTTCCTTTCAGGCTTCTGATGTTGACACCTTGCTTAAAACCGCTCTTCCATCTGTGCCTAGTGCTCCAGCGTTGGCTGAAACCGCCAAGGTTGAACAAAGCAGCTCTTCCATGGGGCATCCCATGGCATCAGAGTCTGCTTGGAGCGGAAGCACGCTGCACTTTGCCTCTAAACCCGTCCTTGATGTCTCACCTTCTAATACGCACTCCACTTCACTTCGAGGTTTAACAGTTCCCTACACACGTGAGAAATACTCTGAACAAGGTTTGCGTAAGAGCGCAAGTCCCCAGCAAGTGCTGTCGTCTTTGTACAGTAACGATGAGCTGTTCCATACTGCACATGCGGACACTAGCCAGGCCTTTCCTCCGCAGGAGGGGCGCGCATTTGCTACTCCTGTTATTTCGATTGATGGGCCACAAAATACACTTCTAAACAGGCTTGTGTATTCTGAGGAAGTTTCCATGCTCACTGAAACTTCTAGTACTGATAAGGTACTTGCTGGCCTACCAACGCTTGTTGCTGATGTCCTTGTGTCTACGGACCATTCTGTTCCATTAGGAAGTGGGTCCATTTCCATTTCAGCTGTTTCCCCCAGCAGAGATGTCGCTGTGACCACAGCCAAGTTGCATCTTCCTTCTAAGTCCACTTCTAAACTGACTCATAGGGCCAGCTCCGATGCTGATTTAGTGGGAGGTGAAGGTGGCGATGGCTATGATGATGATTATGACGACATAGATAGTGATCGCTTTCCCACAAATAAGTGTATGTCGTGCTCGCCCTATAGAGAATCACAAGAAAGGGTAACGAACGACACAGACATCCAGGAAAATAGTCCCGTGGATCAGAGTGACCCAGGTTCCCATTTGCTCCTTGAGAATCCTGAAGAAGAAAATGGAGGTGCAGGTGTAACTAGTGTGGACAAAAGTCCTGATAAATCACCACCAACAGCTATGCACCCCCAAAAGAACAATGAGGGGAAAGAGGACAGTAACATTCCGATGGGCAGTGCTGTCCCTCCTCTCACCCCAGAATCTAAAGCCTGGAGAGTTTTGACAAGCGATGAAGAGAGTGGGTCAGGGCAAGGCACCTCAGATAGCCTCAGTGATAATGAGACTCCCGCAGATTTCAGTTTTCCAGATGTTAACGAAAAGGATGCTGATGGTGTCCTGGAAACAGACGACACAGGCATAGCTCCTGGATCTCCACGGTCCTCCACACCATCTGTTAATAGTGGGCACTCAGAAGTATCCAACAGTTCAGAGGCAGGTTAGTTATGAGCAGAGGGATAGATCGAGATGTGCTAATTTTCTTGCTATGAAAGTAAAATAGAAGAATCATGGAAGAAAAGATCACCATCAGATCTTCACTTTTAATCAAAACACTCGACAAATCAATTTAAAGCTCCTAAGGACATCGTTATACTTATATGAATATTCAACATATTTTGGCCCTTGATTTAATTATCTTCATCAATACAATTTTTATGTTTTGTTACTAATTCTTATCCTACAGGTTTCAATTGTGTGTAGAATCAATTATGTGTTCATAATACACCATTAGTACATTACAATGCAGTGTGCTGTGTTTAGACAATTTACATGTTCACATTTGTTTCTTAAAATAACTTGTAAACTAATCCTTTTGGATTTAAGAATCTCAGTAATATGCTATAAGCACCTGTGCACCAATGGAAAGCAAGGAGACACTTCACATGTCCTCAGTAGCTGGGAGAGCTTCTAAAAAGAGTCACAAGGTTTAATAGTTAAGCAAGATCTTTATAAACATATTGTTATAAAAGTATCTTTCTTTGAGTTTCTTTCTGTCACCTAAAGAGGGCAGTATAAACCAGTGAAATACATCCTACTTTGTGTTTGTTAAAATATTTGTCATTCCTACTTAAATAATAGACATGAATATGCATACTACATATAGGTATTGTGTGACAAGATGTAAAAAAAAAAAAACCTGGAACATTTTCTGTAGAGATGCATTTCATTGTTAATATATTTTATGCAAATTGGTTTGTTAGCCAGATGTTTCTTGGAGCAGATTGCAATATACCATACAGATGTGTGCTTTAAATGTCAATGGTAACAAAACTCAAGTTTAATTTCATTAGGCATATGAATAACTAGGTAATTCCACAGACTTCATGATAAAAAATATAATTCGCTTTGATTAATTGATGAGGTATTTTTTTTTAATTTTCAGTAAAAGCATTTAAACCTTAGCAGGTCAAAAGATAATCTAATGTAATATTGGGTAATAATTGCGTAGAATTTAATGTTTAAAATTCAGAGTATAGAACCAATGTCATTAAAATATGTTTGCTTTTAGTTATTTTCATCATTCAAGTGAGTTGTTTATTCTTTAGTATGGAAGCAAATAAGAATTTATATATTTACATAGGGAAGTTCCTTTTTCCTGTATTCTGACTCGATGTCCATTTAACATGGCTTTCAGCCTCAGTGTATGAACTGATGTGTGAGAGAGAATGGTGAGTCCATAGGTCGTTGTAGTCAGTAGTATTGTTTAGCTATAGGCAAATTGTTATCGTCCTCAATTATAGAGCTTGCTTTTCTTTTTACATCTCTAGATTTATTTTAAAGGGAAAGATCCTGAGTCAATCTATTTTTCTTCTTTGCAAGATTATACTCTTATGGAAAGGCCACTTAAACACATATATAATAAAACACTACATCTAGAATTATTGAAGGAAACCATTTCTCTTAGACACACTAATGTGATTTATTTAGCTGTTAAGAATAAGCTCCCCAAATAACAAAGACAAAGCAATATGAATATAACATCCATCATCATGAAATACTATTAATGAGGAGTGAAGATCAAATAAGACTGGGGGAAACTGGCATTTTTAAAACTGTATCTGTAAAACTAATGGAGAGTTTGTCTTATCCAATTATTGAATATTCCCTAGTCTGAAACTTAGCATTTATGGTACTTAAGATGTAGAAAAATTTACATAATATTTCTTAATATAAATAGGGCGTGTGTATGTGTGTGTTGTGTGCAAACACGGACTAAAAGATACTTGATCTAGGTCACGTAAAGAGTCAATACAAAACTAACCCTGAAAATGTATTATTAGTGTCTCTCATAGAAAATGCTTATATGAAAGAGAACAATAAAATATATATTATGCTTAAATTTTCACACCAAAGTTATATTGTTTTATTCGCAGCCCCTTAAAATGTCAACCTTATTCTTTAATGTATAACTGAATTACTGTTATTTAAGTAATCTATCTAATAAGTTCTCTCAAAGCAAATATTTTAGTCTCAAGTAAATGAAAATAAGACAACTAATTGTTACTCTCAGTACCACACAAAGCTGCTTGCCGACTGTCTGTATTTTCATAAGGTATGCCATCCTGTACAAAATGCTTAGGTTTCAATAATATGTAAATACTATAAAATCATTCTAATTCTCAATTACAGACTTAAAGATCAGATCTCCCCAAGAACTTAACACGGATGTTTATGGAGAAGATAGATAGATAGATAGATAGATAGATAGATAGATAGATAGATAGATAGATAGATAGATGGTAGATAGTGTGTGTTTACAATGCAAGCATATAAATGTAATTGCATTTGTATTATGTATTTTCAAGATACATATTTTCCATGTACATCACACGTAATACCTGACATATTTCATGTGTGTATGTATATATGCTTAAGCTATATAATTGGCTATATACACATATATGTATACACATATATGTATATGTATGTATATGTGTGTGTTTGTAGTATATATTACAGTGAATCTGTGTGGTCATGGAATTTATGTAAACTTTATTAACTCACACTTTTTGTTCTTAAACTTGAACATGCACTCTATCCAAACAATCTAGTGGGGTTTCAGGGGGACCCCAACTTTACATTCTTAAAACATTGCAGGTGATGTTGTTGCTTTTATTCTAGGGGTTACAATTTAGAGATGACGGTATGAATGAGAATATAAACACCCTTTGCAATCACTGGATACCAAGTATTACAAACAGGTCATTTCATTTATTCCCCACAATCTCTTTCCATTCAGGTAATATTTATAATAGAAAACATGTAAAGATAGCCATGGAAAAAGCAAAATACCATTTTAAATGTTATAAGGACATTTCAGTATATTGATCATCAGATTACTTATGAGTCTACATGAGTCTCCACAGAGAACATAATGGCCAGCGCATATGGATGACCTAATTTAAATATTCAACACTTTGGCTTTCTTACAGGAATATTAACCACAATACAAATATTGGCTGGTTTATGATATTTTATAATTTATTTATATGGTTTTATAAATTTTTAGGTACATCTTTGAATTTCACTTTTTTTTTTCCAATGAAGATAGTTAATCTAAATGGTTATCAGATCCTGGGAAATATGGGTATCATTTGTTTTCTTTGGTACATTTTCCATAGGAATGGATCCAAGTTCTTAAGCCTATGTTCTCAACTCTAGTTATGCAGGAAGATGTTGTGGTAAATCAAATCTGGGTACGCAGGAAGCTGTTGTGCTAAACCAGTTCTCCACAGTTAGACACGTAGTGATGTCATCTGTGCATTTAAAGGAGCGTTGATCTCCCCAAAGTTTAAAGGGTATCACATATTTGAAATTAACTCTTCATATTTGTGGCCAGTGAAACATTCGGTATGCACCACGAAGTATGCTGGAAGTATGAAGACTTTGATGTGACATTCAAGTTAGCTCAGCACCTGTTCATGACAGCAACCGGGGTCAGGTAGAGTTGGAACAACGCTTATGAATAATTGCCTTGGCTTTCCACTGAATACCCTTCAAACCAAAGAATTGAAGCTCTTTACCAATATCCACAGTTCTGGAGTTATTTATTTATTTATTTAGGCAACCTATAAAAAGTAATTTAGAACTTAGTTACAGTGATTTTTTTTTTCAAAGATTTTGTACCATAGAGTACCTGATTGGACATGAAAGTAGTGGCTCACCAACTTTTATTTTAACTCAAGTTCTGTCTTTAGATGTTTTCAGTCCACACGTGTATTTGAAAACAATTTCCTAATTACATGTTTTTTAAGTTCGCATTAAATAGAGAATTTTCAGTTTTTGATAGAAAAATAGCAGACAAGAGTTTGAAAACAAACCTGATCAAAACACATGATATGGATGCATGAAATTCTCAAATAATAAAACATATTTAAAAGAATTTTGAAAATAACACAAAATCAACCTGTGTTTAAAATTGAATGTTTGCTTGATTGAAAAGTAATTATCTATTTTTTCTTAATTGTTTACCAAAATACAAGGTTAATACATACATAAAATTAGTTCTAGAACATCAAGGTCACATACAGTGATTTAGTAACACTGTGATTCCCTAACCTTTAACAATAATTTTCTAACGTTTATATTTCAGTTATACCTTGAGCAATTTTTTTCCAACCAGTGTTGGTTCCAGGTCCTGCTATAACTCCCCTAACTCTCACGATTTATTTATTTTTTAATAGCTCTAATATCTTACCGTAATGATTAAGCTTTATTTTACCTAAACTGATGTCTAAACAGCCTTTGCATCATAGAGTCAGAGCTGTAAAGGTAAGTAGAAACAATTCAGGCTGCACTTAACCAGCTGGAAAATACCACTACTTTTCCATCTTAAATCTCAACTCTCTCAATTCTCTCCGACTACAGAGGCCAGTAATAGTAGCCATGAGTCCCGTATTGGTCTAGCTGAGGGGTTGGAGTCTGAGAAGAAGGCCGTTGTCCCCCTTGTGATCGTGTCAGCACTGACTTTTATCTGTCTAGTGGTTCTTGTTGGTATTCTCATCTACTGGAGGTAAGTTGAGTGTTTTGGAAATTTACGTTATTAGAGCTCAGATTTCTGCCTATATTTAATCTGAAAGATCTCCAAATCTATTCAGAATTCCCTTTACACTAAAGCTGGCATTAATGTATTCACCTATGAAGAAGGTAAACTTATGAATCTAAAGGTTGACGTTTTCTGTGCTTAAAGAATTGAAGGCAAATGGTAGAACCATGACCTTAGTTGATGTCTATTAAGGTGTCTCGACAGCTGTACTTTTTTATATTAACCAAGTTAACATTCTAACATCATCATAGCATTTACCATTGATAATCAGCTTTTTATCAACTGTTATAAATACAAGAGTTATTACTTAGGAAAACAATTTTTATATGAATAAATATTTTATGGATTTTTATATGATGTATATCACTGTGTATGGTAATGGAAGATGATAGCCTATACACAAAAGCAAAACTGAGCAACAAAAATATAAAAATATGATAAATGGCTATAAAGAACAGGGGAAGGACCCTTGCCTCTTCGGTTTAATGTGTCAAAGATGATACTGAAGACAATTTCTTTCTAGTACATATTAACCTATGACTATGATTGTTTTGCTTGCTTTAAAAGAGAACATGCTGTTAACTGGGTTTTTTGTTTCTTTTTTTTTTTTTTACAAATTCACCAAATATTAGGAGTTTGCAGTTGGATACAGAGAATGGCCATGTTTTAATGTTGTCTAACTTAAGATACTAATTAAGTTCTGGATCTCAAGAATTCACTAGTGTCATATTGGTTGAGAAGTTCCCTCTTTATCATTCAGACTAAGTTTGTGAAGAATTAACAAAGCCCAAAAGAAATATTAAAATATATTTGATCCTTTCTTTCATTGTGTATATACCATTAATAACCACCTAGTCATTTAAAGATACTTTTGTGAAGATCCAGCACCCAACTGTTTTTGTTACCATTTTCCCTATATCCTACTGTCTCAAAATGAATTATTTATTAATTCAAATGTTCATTAAACTCACAGGAATTTAATATGCCCATTTTAAGCATGTGATCTATCATATATTAAACATTATTTTCTGTGCTATAAAAAAAGCAAAGGTATTTACAACTTTTTATAATTGGCTTTGAATTTGAAATATGCCCTCATACTCTTCATTGATCCTTCAAAACCTTTCCAGGACCAGGGTAGTTACCTGTTAATAAGATCCTCTCTTGTACTAAGCAGAGCAGACAGCTAATTCATGAATTTATTAAAGACACAACACAAGTCAGTAAAACTGTTTTTCCGAAAAGAAGAACTTGATGATGCTGATGATAGGAGAATTCCTGTCTACGAGCCAAGAAAGGGCGGCTCACATTATTAGGATCCCATTTAGTCACTAGCAAGATGCAGAAGCAGCTTTCTTCTGTCTGTGCCCATGTGGCGACTGTCTCCTTCTATAGATTCTGTAGCATAGAAGATGCCGTGGTTGGCAGCCTCTGAGCATCACATGCTCACATACATGTTCTTCAGCCAGCGTTGGTTGGATTTTCTTGACTTGCTGCTCAAAGTTTTGGACACATTTTTCTATTCAATTTGTTCACTTTATTTTTGTCTAATCTGATTTTCCCTACAAAATGAAACATTTGAATGAATGAGAATTTGTTTTAAATAAATTTAACAAAACATGGAAGACATGACAAGATAGATTTCTTATTAAATAGTGCTAATGTTAAGCTCTAATAAAATGGCAGGTGATTTATGCTTAAATGAAATAACTAGAATAAGTTTCATAATTTCTATAATTTGTTCTAAGCTATGTTGTGCAAATTTAAAATTCAGTGTGTTTAATATGGTCTGATACTTCAGGAGAAACTAAAATCCAAGTCTTCTCAACTTTTGTTAGTATGGATAATTCCATATATATCATCAGAAAAATCAGACTAAATTGTTAAGACCAATTAATCCTCAGTAGTAAGATGTTTCTCTTTTCCTCACAAACACTATTTCATGTACCTTGAATAGAGGATGCAGTTAAAAGATCAACACGAGTGGTTTATGCATGCATTTTGTCTAGTAAATATACTGACAAAAATTGCCACTCTTTGCTAACCCCCTTCAAAAATGTGTTAAACAGTGCTAGATATCTGTCTTACATGTGTCTGTATGAAATTAACTCACTAGAAAAAATAACTTTTAGATTGATTTACAACACTGGAGTTGTGGGGAATTGTGCACAATAGTCTCTTGTTCAAGGTTTGCGTGAATTATTCAAATTCCAACGTGAACATATTTATTAATAATATACTTCATCAGACAAGATGGGTGCATTGTAGGTGTTTGTGACAGTCATGGCCCATGGGAAGGGAGAAAACACTAAGGCAGGGGAAGCAGTTCGGGTTGAGGAGAGCGCTAGAAAGAACATTCTGAAGAAAACTCGGCGCAGTGAAGCAGGAGAGCACGGGCGGGCAGGTGCAGTGCAGGCCACATCCACCCGCCTGCTTCTCTACAGTATCTCAGGGCCTTCCTTTTCAGGAAAAGAAGAGCCTTCTGGAGTTGATTTCAAGTTAAAGAAATAAGTTGCTTATTAGAATAAAAAGAAAATC